TGTACGCCGGGCTCTCACTAGACAGTGCCACCAGCCCAGAAGATAACTGTGGGCCCCCAACCTCAACTTTATGCCGTGGGGAATGATGGGAGGGGACCTTGTAAAACATTCCAGACCTCCTGGATCAGAGACTCCAGGCAAGACCTGGGAATCTGCATTTATCCACCCCAACCCACCCCTTTCCCACTCACATTCAGGGCTCAGTGAACTCACCAGAGGAGTTGGGCGGCCTGTGTCTTGGCTAGCTTACCTGCCTCTTCTGGAGCTCGTATTCTCACCTGTAGCCTGGAGCTGGTACCCACTTCGTGGGAGGTTCTGTGAGACGATGCTCACAAAGGGCTCAGCCTGATGCCTGGCTCCCCACGCACTCTCCATCAACAGGAGACGGTGATCCTCTGAGCCCATTTTAAAGATGAGAGAATGAGGCTCTGAACAAAATGTGATTTCATCACCATGATGATGTAGCTAGTGGGGGAAAGGGTGCGATTTTTATTCCAAACTTTCCACCAACCCAGTCGCCCCATATTTTTCAAATGTAAAGTAAACTGTATCGTGGACCCTTAAAAGGGACGTTCTCCAGTCGTCTGTGAAATGAAGGTGTTGCCTAGGTAATCCCTAAGGGCCTTCCAGTGCCAGCCTCTGCTTCCCACCCCAGCTTAGTTACAGGCTCACAGTCAGTTCCTGTAGCACCTGCCTCCCTCAGCATCTTCCACAGCATTATCCCTGAAGCGTGATATGCCGGAGCTATTGTTTTCTCCGCAATTCCCACTCCTTCCTGCAGGGGTCAGTGTGGGTCACTGGGCGCTAGGATCAGCAGCCAGGACAAGTGGAGGATGGGACCCAGACCCAGGAGTCCCAGAGTTGCCTCCTTCCCCAGCCAAGCCTTGAGCCCAGGCTTTTAGACATTCTTCCTGTTCCTCCTGCTTCTGGGGAGAATGAGCCGAGCCTTTAGATGCTATACGAGGGAGCTTCATATACGTTGTGGAAATTTTTCCATTCTTCTTTCCTTTTTTCCACAAACTTTTTGAAACTCCCTCGTATCTATTGCATGTGACCATGGGAGAAGGGTCACCTTGGAAACGGATTTCCCAGACCTGGAAAACACTAACTCATATCTGCCAGGAATGGCAAGCACCCGTAAGTGGCCCATGTGCGACCTGTCCTTGTTCCCTCACCCATGACAGACATTATAAATCGATTCCTACACTTCTCCCCACTACACCCAGACACTGCTTTAGATTCCTCAACACAGCATTCCAAGCCTCCTTCACCTACCCACCAGAATTAGCACTTAGGATAGAAGCCACGTGCCGTCCCTTCCCCCACCTTTGTGGAAGCCCATAAAGGTTGGAACCGTGGATTTTAGATGCCTACTAGCCTGTGCAGCGTCTCCACATACTGCCTGCAGCCTTGGACAAGGCAGTGCGCTTCCAGAAACTGAGGACAGATGCTCCTCGGGCTGTCGGTGCAAAGCCTACCTGAAGCCATGGATGTGCCTCAGTAGGCACAGTGGCCGCTCCGTGTCCCCTCTCCCTGGGTTTGATCCTCTCACACCTCTGCAACCCCTCTGCACCTCACAAGTAGGGCAGCCTGGGGACAGCGAGGGCATCATTAGCATTCGGAGGGCAGGTAAGAAAACTGAGGTCCAGTCAGTGGCAGAGCTTGGAACAAGGGCTGTGAGCAACGCAGACTGCCCCCTGGATGCTCAGCAGCATGACCTCCCTCTCTCTTTCCTGAGGCCAGGGTCCAGGTGTCCTCTGGGCAATGTCCGTGACAGGCCAGGCTTTGGGGAACATAATGCCAGGGCTCAGCACCGAATCTCCCACCAGCCTGTCCTAGGAAGCTCACCCCACTGCTCTCTAAAAAAACCCAAAACAGACTCACTGCCACCAAGTCGATGCTGATTCAGAGGGCCCCGATAGGACTGGGTAGAACTGGCCCCACAGGCTTCGGAGACTGTAACTCTTTACAGGGATAGAAAGCCTCCTCTTTCTCCACAGAGCAGCTGGTGGTTTTGAACTGCTGGTCTTGCAGTTAGCTGCCCTATGCGTAGCCAGTACGCCACCAGGCCTTCTCTGCTGTCCTCTGGATCTTCCCAGTATCGGTTCATCACAATTCTAAAATATTGACTTAGATAGTGGTTCTCAACCTGTGGGTCGCGACCCCTTTGGGGATCTAATGACCTTTTCACAGGGGTTGCCTGATTCATAACAGTAGCAAAATGACAGTGATAAAGTAGCAAAAAAAATAATGTTATGGTTGGGGGTGGTCCTCACCACATGAGGACCTGTATGAAAGGGTCGCGGCCTGAGGCAGGTGGAGAACCGCTGACTTAGATGCTGTGGACACATTGTCAGGAGAAACCGGTGCTAGAGGATATCGTGTTTGCTGAAGGGGGTGGGACGGCGGTGACAAACAGGAAGGCCCTCAACAAGATGGAGTGACCCAGTGGCCGCATCAATGGGCTTAGGCACGGGAACCCTTGCGAGGGAGGCGCAGGGCCGGGCAGGGTTTTGTTGTGTGTGCACAGGGTCGCTATGGGCTGGGGCCAACTCAATGGTGCCTAACAACAACAGCAGCAAAATATTAACTGGAATGCCTTCCAGGATGTGATCCAGCCTTCTCTCCAAGAATGACCGGCAAGGGAACGAATGACAACTAGGAACAGAGTGTACAACTGTGGGGTAGGGTGACTGGTCAGAGGCTGCCATGGGGGAGGGGCAGTAAGAGAATTTTAGGGGGCAGCCGTCCACACAAAAACTCAATGGCCCTGAGCAGCCCCACTCTCTTCACTCTGGAAGGAGTCCTGCCCCTGCTGGTGTTTGCCAAGGCACGCAACAATTTGCGTTTGTCTTCATTAGAAGAAAGTGTCCTTGAGTGAAATTAAAGGGGGAAAACGATGGGAGCTGTAGCTAGGTTTGGTAAATGGCCTGAGAGGGGGTGTTGGCTCTGAAAAGGCGCACATCTGGCTGGGCCCTGCCACAATGGAGGCTCCCAGGAACCCCGCGTTCCAAGGCCGAATGCGGAGGGCGCTGCCTCGCCAGGGCCCAGCTCACAGTGCACACGTGAGCTCACCTTAGGAGGCTCTCCCTGACCCCCTGCCCACCAGCACCCCTCCCTGCCTGCCATCCCGGGGTGAGGGGGGCGCTCTGGGGACAAGCACCCAATCCTCAGGGCTCAAGGCTCCCACGAGGCTAAGCGAAGTTTATGGGGCACTCAGGGGAAGGGAAGGAGAGACCTTCACCCACTCTACCCCTACTCTCAACCCCCTCACTGAGCTGAGGAGGCCGTGGAGGGGGAGTCAGCCGCCCCCCCACCCCTCTCCACACCCAGTGTCTCTGAGTTCCACGCCCTTTTAAGTGTCCTCTGACCTGTGCGCATGGCGTCCCACCAGGTATGCTGGAGGAGGAGAAGGGGGCAGGGAGCAAGGGCCAGTATTGAGCACTGTCCTCATCCCCCCACTGTGGTAGGTCCTTCTTTCTGCTTGTTTGACCTCTAGCCCCCACCTCAGCCATACAGGGGAGAGGCTGCCATCACCACACACATAGCAATTGGCAACCCTCCAGCGATCTGTCCTCCAGGCCTGTCCCACCCACAAATGCCTGGGTCTCAGTGCAGGCCCTGAGGCCTGCAGACCTGCCTGAGGTTGAATTCAACACTCTACCTTTCTCTATAATCCTCACCAGTGTCCCGTGGGCAGGGCTTTACACCCCATTGGCAAGGAAGGGCAGGTTCAGGGGTCACACTGAAACCTGCCCAGTCATGGGCCAGGTCCACTGTCTCCTTATTTCAAGTCACCTGCCTTCCCCGTTATACAGCTGAAGAAACTGAGGCCCATTCTGTCAGGTGGGGGGTTCTTGGAAAGTGCCTGGAATGAAAAAGCCTGTCATTCAGTCACTCTTTCTCCACCCCTCCCCAAAATGTCACCATTAAGTGGATCCTGACCCCAGGCTACCCCATGAGTCAGAGTCAAACTACACCACGGAGGCTTTTCGGTGACAGACTGTTCAGGCCTAGGTCGCCAGGTCTTTCGAGACTCTCCGTGGACTTGAACTGGCAACCTTTCTTTCAGTTGGCGGGTGACCTTCTTAGTCCTTTGCACCATTCAGGGACCCCTGCTTCTCTCTAACCACAGTTAAAAGGAAAAAAAAAAAGACTCCAATTCTCGATTG